GGTCCTGGAAACAAACTCCCAAAACAGTGTTTTTCAAACTGCCTGTTAAAACCAACTGGTTGTCAATCTAGTAAACTATTTTGTGAGTAGTATTAAAAAGAGCAGTGAATAGTACAGAAAATCAGGGTGCATCATATCTAATAGGGTTATGCTAATTGTGCATGACAGTAAATTAGGCTGGTAGCCAAAAGAAACTGAAAAATGAAAACTACCCCCAGAACATGTCAATGCCTCCACCAAATATTTAAGGAAGGAATGGAACAAATGAGGATGTATATATGGTTCTATTATAACATTATGACTATGAAAGCACTGCTTAACCTTTAAAACCAGAAAAGCTCTTGAACAGGCTCACATATTCTGAGTTCATAAGTTCTGTAACTACTGCTGATCCTGACTTTACAGAATAACCCATGTAGGTAAAATACATCAAGAGAATGAGTAAAGTACTTCAAACAGTTCATCTTTTAAGGAAGACAAAATCCAGTAAGAAATACTGACAATACAGGCTTATTTTAATGACAATTTGAGGCAGAAATAGAGCAAAGGCATACTGGATTTCCTAAAACAAAGGAATTCAACACAAAATGTTCACTGAATACTCAGCTAAATTAATATTGAGGTGTCAAAGGAAACAAAGTGCACTTTTGCAGTTCTAAAGGAGAAAACAATTTTATGACTGGAAAAGAAAAGAAACAAAGAACACTAAGTAGTTGCTTCATTTTTCAACAAGCTTAAGGATCAGGTCTTAAAAAATGCTAAAAAATAACATAGCTTGTTCCTTCCCTCTCTTCCCTACCTATAATAACATATGTTTCTGGTTGTTGTAACAGATCAGCTTCCCATTCATTCTTATCAGGAAAGCAAGGGACAAGGAACTGAGAAAAAGCAGAATTCTCTAGCCTGTTGTCCTATTACCATTTTTCTGGCCTTATTATACAAACATGATTAAATCAACTTTACCTTCAGGTTTACTACACTCAAAAACACAAGCAGCCAGTACCAACATTTGTTTCTTATCTGCTTATACACAAATGATTCCTTTAATAGGCAGCATATGTGACTGATATTATCAGACAATTTTCTAAATAAAAGGGGAGTGGATGCCTTAGGAGCGAGTTCATTAAATTAGGAGAAAGAGTACAGAAGGGAACACTAGAAATACCAAAGCAAACACCTATTTTTATAGTTTTGCCTAACAGGCATGTCTTGTCCACCTCTGAATATATATAGGCAAGTATTAAGAGCAATAGCCAAAACTACACAAGCACATACCTTAGTGCAACTACCACTTTTCAGGAGTATGATGTAATCCAACTTGGTTTGGCATGGCTCATAAAGATGTGTTTTAAAACAGCGGACCTCCTTATAAAGGAGATTCCATCCCAGAATACTGCTTAGTCAATGCATTATTATAATTACACAACTTAACTAAGATTGGTAATAAAAGACCTTGAAAACAATACAAGTTTAATTATAAGAATAGTTAGTAAATAGACCTTGGTGCAACACATTTTTTAATAAATGTATTTATTATACCATTTGGTCACAGAAAGTAACATCAGGGAAATATAAATGGTCAGAGGTAAATGTTTAATGCCAAAAGTATAAGCAGAATCATTTGATAAATATTTAATAAGCTCCTCTCATTGACCATAATATTCTATTTTGATGTCTACAA